TAAAAGACCTTTGTTTAGAAAACACGTAATGTTCACTTATGCATGAAGTTTGATAGAGAAACTATAATTGGGTGCCTGATATATATTCACTATGAAAGCAATACAAGAAATAAACGTTTTATAGGGGTCAAAAAGAAATAGTCCGAGAAAAGAACATATGTGATAATAATGCATTGCATTCTTGTAGTTGAGGAAAATACAAACCAATGTAATGCATCTAATCAATATTTGCAAAATAATCTATTCAAAGATAACTGTATATGACTACTAAATAAATATAGAAACTAGTGTTATACCAAAATGTTCAGAAACCGCTAAAACGTAAAGATATATAAAAATTTGCATTTTCGATTTTTTTGCGATTACTATAACTTACCCTACGGGAAATTAATTAATTATATGTAAATAATAATTTATTTCAATTAACAAGCATAAAAGCAAAACTTGTCAAAGGCCACAGACTGGACTTTCTAAATTTGTGTTTAGCAAATAAATGGACCATGACTCTTGTTTGTACAGTGCTCTGCAATCAGACAGCTAGAGCAGTTTTATACGGAATGTAGTACTATAATTTCTCTTTAGTGGGGTAGCCGATGAGCCATCTGAAGGACATTAGGAATATAAATAATTTAGTAGAACTGGATTTAAAAATCATTAAGGATACAAGTCCAATTTTAGTAATTATGCAGGATAGGTTATTAACATTGCAAGAATACCTAAAGTGAAAATTTGTTTTTCTTTTCTTTCTGTTTCAAATTCTGATTACACTGGCATTTTTAACAAAAGTGGATGTATAAAAACGGGAATTAAAATAAAGAATTTCAATAGTCGTAGAAAATTATCTAAAAATATCAATAAACGAGTCCACTTTAACTATTACCTTAAAATTCAATTGGCTTCTATATAATTTGATAAATTTTGAAAATGGTTTTTGCACTGTTTATAGTTAGAAAAATAATTACAATACCATTTTACATGATTGGAATTAAACATTTAGATATTAAAATAACCTATACTGTTGCAATGACAATATTTTCTGTTAAAATTTCTAGTTTTCATAAAATTTTTACCAACTTCCCCACTATGATAGCAAATGCAGTAAATAGGACAATCGGTCCAGTTCTGCAGTGCAAGCATGTGATTTGCGACTATAACTTGGAAATGCTTGCATATAGTGAAATTCTTAAGATACTATTTTCCTTCTAGACATTAAGTCCGCATTATTAACTTCGTAATAGAATAAAATATTAAATACATGACATAATGTTTTTATTTCGCTTAAGGAGTTTTTTGCCAGAAAATCCGATTTGCTAATTCTAGGTCTTATTACTAGCGTTTCAACGAGCAGTCGCTCTATCGAAGTATTAGATTAGTGAGAATTGCTTGTATCTATATATATCAGGGTGGTCCTTAACAATGACATTTTCGAATTTCTTTGCTCCCAATTGCGCCAATGCTTCCAAAAGAATAAAAAATCAATATCTAATAGTATTAGCTCTTAATATAATCATTTAGGTAGAGCGCACACCAATTGAAAGTTTCTTATATTTGTTATTAACATACGTCATTAAGTAAATTCTTGCGCCATCTGTCTAGTATTCGACTCAAGTATTATGACACATAAGAATATTTATAAACCACTTAACCTCTATATGTATATATATATATATATACATATATATATATATATACATATATATAATATGTATATATATACATATATATACATATATATATATATATATATATATACATATACACATATACAAATATTCGTTTTAATTAATAATTTGCATTTTGAGCTCCTATTAATTAAAACTTGCAAAATAAGTAGATTCACATCTCGTTTGTACCTATACCTGCGTTTAATTAATTTCAGAGTGTTTATTCGCGACGTAATCAGTATAACTCATCCTTCACTTTAATCAATTTGTTTTGGTATTTATTTTTATATTACTCACAACGTTATGGAAGCTATGTTTCATGATTAAATTAAAAACATTAATTTTGAAAAATATAATAGACAAATTAGTTATTTGATATAGGGTAGGGCGGGGCTGAAGATCTGCTTGTAAAAAGATCGACCCTTTATATCTCAAAAACAAGTAAAGTTATGATTTTTTTAACAACAATACGTGAACGAAGACAGAAAAAGATGTGTAATCAGCCATCATCGCCTCAAATCAAGCAACGTTTTTATTAGGAGATAAATGGCTTAATTTGAAAATCAATAGCAAAATAATTTTCTTTCGATGTTAGTTTTTTGGTTGTGAGCACTGTTGTTTAGTTCACGAGACCTCACTATAATTTTGAAGTATCTATACATTACTAATTTTAGTTGTTTTATCAGTGAATAGTTAATTTTAAGATGAATAGCAGATGAATCAGCAGATATTACATTTATATAACATTTATAAAATCACAAAACCTTTAACATGTGGGTGAAGTCAAAGGGATCAACTAAACCTTTATCCTGGCAATGGCGTAAAAGATCAAAAATAGTGAATCAGAAAGTTAATTAAGTTTACAAGAGCAATTTCACGAGTGAAAAGTTAAATAAATAGTTAAAACTATTCTGACGATTATTTTCGACCAGATCAAAGTTATACAAATCGTGTACAAATCGTTCGTATACAAATTGTTCTATGTAAAAAATGTATCCATGAAGTATATATTTTCATTGGTTAAATAATGTTGCTATTATTTAGCAAAATCTATTCAAAATTAACAATGTGACGTTGGACCTGTTTCGTCCCTGGCTGTTCCATTTTACCCCTCCTATGGGGTAAAAATGGCCATGAGACAAATTTTGCAAAAACAGCAAAAAGAATTATTTGCGAATTATACTGACTTTAGTCAGATAGTTATTCATTTGATATATATTCTGATTCTCTCTGATTCAATAGTACGTCTCAGCTAAGGCCAGTATTTGCCCTATATCAGCCCAAACCTTTCAAGTTCCTCGGTGATTTAGAACTCCCGGCATAGAGTAAAAACACTCATATATAACAGAAACTATATCCATGGCCTTACAAAATTCCTATACAAACCAAACTATCATCCTTGTTTTTAGGAGGACTTTTCGGTAATTAGCGGATAACAAAAGACCCAATTTCTCGTTGGATATTTGCACTGTTTTGTGATGAGCGGTCAGTTGTTTACTAACAAAAGGTTCAAGGAACAGAATAATAGAAACTGTTCTGCAACTTTTGTTAGAATTCGTATATAGGCTTGTGATTTAATATAGTTGAAACTAAATACAATGAAAAAATATAAATATTACTAAATTATTATAATTAATTATCTCCGATTTCTTCCTTTCAATATATCAAATATCAATCGATCTGATTGTATTAATTTTATCAAATTGGGCTAAATTACATTTGATATATTTATACTTATTTAATAAAAATTTAATTATTTATTAAAACGCTATTATCTCATTAAATACAAAATAATATTCAAACCCGCAATTATCAAATAAAACTACTATAAAGCATATAATAACACAATGGGTTAAAATGAAATAATGCTTTCATATATTGATATATGAAATAAATTATTGCCATAGGCATAATTAAATTTTATATTGATATATCATGGTTTAAATCGGCAATAAACATTTAAAGTATTGTATTGCATGTAATACAAAGTTGGAAATTTTATATTGCACTTTATTTTTAACGCATTTATGATTATAAATCATTCAATTATAAATAAATTAAAATTTATTAAAATAGGTGTTAAAGGTATGTTACAGAAACTTTCAGTTGTGTATAAATAATCGACATAATAAATACGAATTAAGATTTAACAGCTTTAAACGGTGAAAGTATAAAACTTTTACATGGCCCGTTATTCCAAACATTAATGAATTTTTAAATCAAACCAATTTTTGTAGTCATATATTATTTTAGGATATTCATTAAGACCATGAACAACTCATTATAAAAGGTTTCATCAAAATTGTAAAAACTATGTTTTATCAATTAATCAAGAAGAAAAGGCCCGACCGATCTTTACCAAAAACACATCAGCACAATACTTAAATGGTATTTTTTTACAGGTTTTGAATTTATAAAACCTTTATTTTCATACAATAAAATTGGAACTTTTCTACTAATAATAAAAAACGGCTTGGATCTTATCTAGCTACATATAATGGCTTCGAAATATAGCTGTTTTTGAGACAACATCAGTAAAAAGTCAAAATTTTGCCTCACATACATATTTTTCTTCATACTTTGGTCCCGAACAATTTAGAATGAGTAGAAACGCCAAAAAACATAATATAAACAAATTGTTTTTTCTAGAAAAAAACATAAACTTTTTCTTAATTGTGTAATATTCATTTATGAGAAACTATCAGGTCATCAAAATATATATATATATAGGTTGTCAAATATCTCCCTTCCGCTTTTTTGCTCTTGGTTTATAATACAAAAAGGCGGAAGGGAGATATTTGACAACCCAATATATACGTATAAATAAGAATTGATCCAAGGATAAAGTACTGGGCGTAGCACACTACCCTGTGGTACTCCGCATTCTATATTTCTAATGCTCGAAGTCACATCTTTAATTTTGATTCTAAATTTTCAATTAAGCAAATATGAGTTTAAGATATTGAAGTGATATTGATCGATAGATGTACAATAAAAATAACTAATTAAGTAATAATTTTCTTTCGATATGAGAATTAATTGTAAAATAGAAAGTATATTAATAATATTAATGAACAAACGTCCCGGCCGATCTTCACTAAAAACTAATCAAAACTCGACTACTTAAAATTGGTTTAGTTAGTTTGTTATATATATATATATATAAAGAAAGTGCTTGGGTCTTATTGAGTTACATTGTATGACTTTTGTATTTTCAAAATCGATGGTGCAGCAGTTTTTGACAAAAAGTCAACAAAAGCTCAGATTTTCACAATTTTATCATGTTATATCTTATGATCGGTGCAATATTTTTTATTATCCATTATCCTTTTTCAGAAACTTGAGCAAAACGATGACGACGAGTATCTCAACGCCTCCTGGGCCGATAGCAGCTCTCTGAAGAGGCAGTTCCATGGACTCAAGAATATTTCCTGGCGCCCTAAGTAGACAGGCGCGGACTTGAGCTCAAGTTCGCAAAGTCTTGGGACGAAGACTTCGCTTCGGCGCGGCTTTTGCAATCAACAAACTCGCTAGCACTTTGTCATGTTAGACATGTTAAATTCACCATGAAAAATTATAAAACGTTCAGATAGAGATAAGTTTTGCTTATGGAATTACAGAAAATTAGACGGTTACGTAGGTACATCGGTTTTTGTAAGGAGTTGGTAATATACATTTTTATTGATGATCGAACAAGTATTACAAGTACAAAGGAAAATGATTGTTGCTATATAAATATAATTTGCAACAATATATTGATATGATAGCCATCAACAGATAAATATTATTTCCAATTCAAATGTTAAGGTTACTAAGTAAGTATCAATACTGTTGAACACTTGTGGATAATTTACTGCATTCGATAGGTATTTTATTTTTAAAACAATAATATGGTAGAGCGGGGCACAAAGATCCAATTTGATTTTTAGTAATTATACTGTCTAAATCTAATAAACTACATTATAACAGATAACATTTATCAAATAAATCGTACGCATCAACTACCGAACCATGTTCAGTCAAATTTACAAGCAGTTTCTAATTATAGAAATGTGTTTTTTTTACAATTTTCATAAAATTTTCCATCTGTTCCTTTCCACCATATAAGCGGGGTAGAACGGATCCAATGTTTTATTTGTAATTTTAAATTAATTTTACAAAATAATAGCTACAATATTCAATCAATTCAAAATAAAACCTTATAGGCACATTTTTACAAAGATACCACTGTATATAACCTAGATCTGGTATTTTTGCATGATAGGGCAGAGCAGGAATTCAAAGGACGTGAGTAAAAAAGTTCAATAAAATCATCTCAAACAATTAGAATATAACATTTTTAACAGCCACCACCTCTTTAAATCGGGCAAAGTTGATATTACCACTGTATACAACCTAGATCTGGTATTTTTGTCTAATAGGCCAGAGCAGGGTTTCAAAGTCCGTGGGTAAAAAGGTTCAATAAAACCATCTCAAACTATTCAAAATATGACATTTTTAACAGCCACCACCTCTTTAAATTGGGCAGTTTGATATTACCACTGTATACAACCTAGATCTGGTATTTTTGTCTGATAGGGCAGAGCAGGGTTTCAAAGTCCGTGGGTAAAAAGGTTCAATAAAATCATCTCAAATATAGAATATGACATTTTAACAGCCACAAGTTTTGTAAATCGGGCAATATCTATATCTTGATATATAGTGGGTCACAATGTTAATTTTTTAACGAAAGTATTTTGTTTCATTATTATTAGTGTTGCTGTTGAGCGCTGTTGTTTAGTTTAAGGTAGTATATAATTTCCAAGTACACGTTATTTAATTTATATTTTTATGCATATTGTTATTTTTAGGTTAGATTCATGAGTATTTTTATATAACCTCTGAAGTAGCTTACATGTAGTTGGGGTAGAAAGGACCAACTGGTCTATGAAAACTATTTTACCATGTTATTATCTTGTTTGTGGTAATTGTTTTTCAAGAATGAGTTTGCTTATGATTAATTAAACAGGAATATCAATCAATATAATTGGGGTAAAAAGGACCACCTAGTCTGTGAAAAATATTTTTGCATGTTATTATCAAGAATGGGTTTGCTTATGATTAATCAAACAGAAATATTTATCAATAAAGAAATAAGAGTTGATAGAAACCTCTGTTTATCATAAATATTAAATTTATATATTTAGCTTCTAATTCTGAATTTTGTTGTTCAGTCTAATAATTATAGTGTTAAAATCATGTAGCTGTTTTACCGTAAAACCTCTGTAAAATTAAAATAAAATGGTGGGCTTGTTTTGTCCCTTGGCTGTTTCTTTTTGACCCGCCTTTGATTTAAAAAATGGCTAAAACATATAACACATTCTTGAAAAATGGCTAAAAACACATATCTACGATGAGAACGATTTTACTGACCACAGTTTGAAAGTTGTTTATTTGATATGTGTTATTTTGTTTTGATGTAGTTGACTTTGTTTTTACAGTATAATTGCTAAAAGTCAAATCGGACTATTGTGTCCTACCCTATGTAAGGTGTTGTATATAAGTTAAAGTTTCTAGATTTTCTATTTTAAGTTAAATCGTGTGCAGTAAATTAAAATAATATACTGTAGATCTATATGAAATACTTTGTATTAGCCTTATTGATCATTCGAAAAGTTTCTTAAAACTGGTGTGTCAACTAACAATGAACCATGATACTCATTATGTATAAAAATGTATATACCAGTAATGCACTCGTTCTAACAACCCGTTGGATGGCAATTTCCCATCTTCTCCATTTCCTCATATCTTGAATAATGAAAACCGACTAAACTAGTAACACTAGGATGCGCTGCGACCAAATTGCATTTCTGTATTATTCATTATGCAAAAATTCATTATTTGAACCGGATCCATGACACACAGCACACCGTATATAAGACACTGCCACAGCCACACAAAAAGCAGTCAATATTGTGAAAATAAAAACAGCTAATGTCGCTGAACTAAATAGAACAGAAGAGCTAAATCGTTTCAGAATAGAATTCATTAAAATTAAGACGAACGTATTTATGGTATTATTGAAAAGGCTCGAAAAGGTTAATTTCTATGCAGACGCATGGATTATTCTTGATGTATGTGAATATATATTTAAATATTTATTTTTCTGTTTATTATTTTCTAGAGCATTTCACTCACAAGCTGTTCAAATAATAAATCTTGTGTAAATACAAATTATGTGCAAAAATTGGGAGTTAAATTCTCCAGCAAATAGGAGTTTTTTTATTTTTTACACATTTTTTGTTTGGTATAAAACTAACAAGTAACAAGTACCATTTTGTAATCCCGATTAAGTATTATATTCAAGTACTTTGAATAATTTCCACTACGTTTTTTTAGGTCTTTTAGGGTCCAAAGTCGAAAATTTTAAATTCATTGTTTAACAAATAGTCTTGACCACAGAAACTTGTAGGCATTTGTATCATTTTTGACTGTAGTTTTAGAAATATTATTTACAGTTACGGCTCTAAAGTTTAAACGAATAAAACTATTGAAAAAAAAAACACAATAACCGATAATCATAATTTTACCAAAGTACGTAAGTTTTAGGTTGTACTGAGAAGCTCATAATTTTTATTTTACAAAGAACTTTTTTTTCAATAATTGCTGTCAACTCATTTCGGCTTTTGCTGTGTTGAATTCTGGGATTCCATGTATAAAGGTTTTTATGTTCCATATGTTTTTATATTTATATTTATTTCATATTAATATTATATTAAGCATTTAGGGAGAAGTTCCGTAACGCCGGGCGGCACCAAGCACCGGACACTCTATTTAACACGTATTATTTAAGCGAGTATAAATCTTTTCATTTTAAAATGCAAGTGAAAGGGGCATGGGAGGCACATAGGTACAGGATCACGCGCCAAGCCGTGATCCAATCAATGGAAAAATATCAATGGAAGTAATTCTAGCATATTTATGCATTTACATTTGAGTGGTATGCAAAGATAAAAGTTCTACTCGATTGCTATCCGTAAAATGGTAGAATATTATTAGATCTTTTAACCAATTTTAGTAGGTGCCACCAAATGAACGAAAATGTCTGTCCCTTAGCGCCGGACACTAAGTCGTCTCTTAGTGCCGGACAGTAAACATATTGATATTTCTTGTAAGAATTAACGTAATTTTTTTCCAATTATTTAATTCTGCTCTGTATAAGAGCTAACGGTCACTACATACCCCCATTTTTCATATTTACTAGTCAAAGAATGAAAAGCTTAAGGTAAATCCACCAGCTGAGAGCATCGGTGTAGCCCAGCCAAAAGGGTGGATGAATAGAACCTTTTTTTGCAATATCTAAGAATATTCGTCAAAGACAAGTGTAGAGATAGCTACATATGTGTAGCATAATGTCCGGTACTAGGTGCCACTGTTTAAAATCATATGTTTTGATTCCAAAGTTGATAGTATTAATTATTTTTAGCAAAGATTGCGGTTTTGTTAATTTAGTTTGATTTCTAACTTTATCTCATTTTTTTTCTATTATTTTTCAGGACAGTTAAGATCAATACTATCATCTTGTTTCGTCAAGGTGTTCGGGTAAAATAAAAACAATATAAAATTATAATATAATTGACTATCTCGAAGGATAACCTTACGTATGTAGGGGCTTATTTAAAAACATAAATTGATTAGAAAGGAATTAACGTCTATATCTTCTGTTAATTTTTCTCTCTTATTTGAGTTTTGGGTATCAGAAAGCTCCACCGCCATACTGAATGCTACATTTTTCCATTTCCATTTTCAATTTTGTGATTATATTATAGTTAACTGATGAAAATATATTGTTCAAATATTTCTAATGTTAAATGTCTATAATATGGTGTATATAAATTAATCTATTCGAGCCTAAAACGAGCTAAACCATTCGCTAGTTAGCAACAAATGATGTATATTAGCACACGCACATCGCACTCAAAATTCTCATTAACTCTATCACGACGCGTCGGTGTAACCTAAAAGCTTTATAACTCCGATAGGCACATATTGGAAATTAGTATCATAAAATTAATATATAACTTAATTAATAAAGTTTAATATTATAACTTAATTTAATAAAGAACAACCGACAATATTTTATAAATGTACGATACAACTAGTATTTTTCAATTTACCGAACGAAACAACAATTTATGATGCCCACTTAATTAACAGTATATTACAATAAAATAGTGTCGGCAAGCTTAAAGCTGAGCTTAGAGTTAAGATCGATTATTATTATTATAAAAGATTTTCTTACTGACAAGAAAATTCGTTCAATGATTTTATTCAATAGAAACAACAATGGTTTCAGCAGTAATACTATCAATTTATTGATTAAAATATAGATTTGTGAAGTTATAAATAAATGTGCTCACAACAGTCTGCAATATTTTAAAATCTAGTTGTTTATATTCTAAACTACG